GTCTGAAATATTTTCTTCTCTCCTACCCTCTTCATATCCACTGAAAAGGTGAAAAAAAAACATATTACAAATATGTAAAGTGATGCAAAACAAATTCCCGCACTTGTTATGTCTAAAAAAAAAAGGAAGGAAAGAAGGGAGAAATTATGGAAGGAATGAATAAAAAGAAGGAAGGAAGAGGAGAAAGAAAGGGAGGGAGGGGGAGAAAAGTGAGGATTAGAGGGAGGGAAAAAACATAAGTATATTTTAATTTGAACTCTGAGCCCCTTTGTTCTATGTCTGGAGGAAATTGACATGTTTCATCAGATGAGCCCTTTGTAATTAGAATTGGTCATTGTATTGATCAGAATTACTAAGTCTTTAAAAATGTATAAGTTGGGGCAGCTAGGTGGTGCAGTGGATAGAGCACCAGCCCTGAGTCAGGAGGACTTGAGTTCAAATCCAGCCTCAGACACATAATATTTCCTAGCTGTGTGACTGTGAGCAAGTCACTTAGCATCAATTACCTCAGCGAAAAAAAAAGTGTAAGTTGATTATCTTTACAATATTGCTGTTATTGTATGAATTCTTCTCCTGGAACTGCTCATTTCTTTTTGTTTCCATTCATAAAAGTCTTCCTGAATTGTCATGAAAACATGCCTTTCATCATTTCTTAAAGTACAATAGCCTCCTGTCCCTTTATATATCATTTTTCAGCCCTTACCCAGTTGATGGACAACCCTTGAGTTTTAAATTTTGCCACTGCAAAAAAAGCTGCCATAGTTCAGTGCATATACGTCCTTTATCTCTTTTGTTGCTCTTTGTGTAGTATAGATCTAATGGTAGTGTTGCCAGATCAAAGATAATAAACAGTGGTATAACTTTTGGGAGTAGTTCCAAACTGCTTTCCAGAATGGTTGGACAAACTCACAATTTTGCTAACAGTGCATTACTTCCTGTTTACCCAGAACTCCTCCATTATTTTTCATGTTTCTTTTTTGTCATTTTAGTCAATCTGATATTTGTGAGGTGGTGGTAACTGACTTGTTATAATTTCTGTTTCTCTATATATTATCAATTTAGAATTTTTATGTAGGTATTGATTGTTTGAATTTCTTCCTCCAAAACGAACCCAGTTGTATCTTTTGACAATTTATCACTTGAAGAATGCCTTTTGTTTCTTTGAAATTTGTTTAGTTTCCTATATATTTTAAAAATGAGACCTTTCAGAGAAAATTACTACAGTGATTTTTTCCCATTTCTAGCTTTCCTTCTATTTTAATTGTATTGGTTTATTAAGGGAAATAATTTTAATTTTATGTAATGAAAATGATTCATTTCCTGTTTTTTCTAGCTTTTTCCAATTTCTAGCTTTTTTCTAAACTAAATGGATTGGTTTGTTTGAGCAAAAAAAAATAATTTTATGTAAAGAAAATTATCCATTTTATCCAATGGAAAGCACTCTATCTCTTGTTTGGTCACAAATTCCTCCCCACCATTGAGACTTGCAGGGATCATGAAAACAGTGCTAAAAAGTCCCAACTTGGGACAGCGAGTTGGTTCGGTGGATAGAGCACTAGCCCTGGAGTCAAGAGGACCTGAGTTCAAATCCAGCCTCAGACACTTGACACTTACAAGCTGTGTGACCCTGGGCAAGTCACTTAACCCCAATCGCCTAAAAACAAATAAAAATAAAAATAAATAAAAATTAAAAACCATAATTGTTCAGTTATCATCAGGATCCCAAAGAAAGAACTAGCCAGTTCTGTGTATCCCAATCCAAGAATGAAAATCCAAATGGAGGGAGTAATCCAGAGAAGAAGGGGTTACACAAAAGAGTGTCTCAACTTAATTTCTAAGCAATTCTGTGAAAACCTGTTCAGTGCACATTACGCACACAGTACTCTTCTAGGGGATGAATGACATAAAAAAGATAGATATAAACAGAAGTGATAGTTAAGGTAAGTCAGACTACAATTGATGTGTAAAACTTTACCCTAAAGGCCCAATGCAGCCAGCAAGACTTCCACATGTGGCTTGAAACCAACTGATATGTAATTGAGAAATGTTTAACAAAATGAATAAAAATACAATAGATGTTGCTTTGTGGTGCTCTAAGGCAATATGCAATCTGCTGGGATCTGTTCCTGTTTGAGTTTGACATCACTGGAATAGAATACCACAAGGATCCCTTCTTACTAATATTCAATAATCCTAAAATAAAGAACATATGTTGAGGGGGTGGAGCCAAGATGGCAGGGAGCAGCCAAGAAGTTGCCTAAGCACTCCCCCGTTTCCCTCAGAAACAAAGTTAAATCAAGCTCTAAAGGAATTTTGGAATAACAGAATCCACAAAAAGATGGGGTAAAACAATCTTACAGCCCAAGATAACTTAGAAGGTAAGGTCTATCTCACTCGGGTAAAAGGAGAGAGCAGCCCAGTGTAGGCAGTGTCCAGACCAGTCAGCAGGAGACTTTTAGACACAGCATTGATCAGCAACTGAACCTTCAGAGTTATGGCTCAGTAGGCCAGTGACACAGAAGGCCAGTTGTGAGGCATCCAGTCCCACTGCAGAAGGCAAACTGCCAGGCCTCCCACCCAGGGCACAACAGGCACAACTAGACTGGACCACCCTATGCCAGTGGGCTAGCTGCCAGCCCCAGAGACCCTGGTACGGTTAAATAGTCAGTGACCAGGACCCTAGAACCCAGTGAAAGAAGCTTAGAAGAGTGCCTCTCTACCTATTGAGCAGAGCTCAACTTTTAAAACTGAGCAAAATAAAACAAAATAAAAAAGAGCCTTGGCCATAGAAAGTTACTATGGTGATGGGGAAGATCAAAACACCAACTCAAAACAGGAAAAAAAGGTCAAAATGCCTACATGTGAATCCTCAAATGGGAATATGAATTGGTCTCAGGCCCAAAAAGTACTCTTGGAAGAGTTTTTAAAAAAGAGTTTTAAAAATCAAGTAAGAGAGATAGAAGAAAAAATGGGGAATGAAATGAGTCATGCAAGAGAATTATGGAAAAAAGAGACAACAGCTTGGAGGAAAAGGAAGCATAAAAATTGATTCAAGAAAACAACTCCTTAAAAAATAAAATTGTCCTAAGGGGAGGAAAATCCACTAGAGAAAAAAAAAACTCCAGTTTTTTCCAGAAGTGGCCAAATGGAAAAAGCTAACTGAAGAGAACAATTCCCTAAAAAGAAGAATTTGGCAAGTGGAAGCTAATAACTCTATGAGAAATCAAAAATCAGTCAAACAAAATCAAAAGAATGAAAAGACAACGTAAAACGCTTCATTTGAAAATCAACTGACCTGGAAAATAGGTCCAGGAGAAATAATTTAAAAATTATTGGACTACATAAAATCCATGATCCAAAAAAGAGCCTGGATTGCATCTTTCAAGAAATTATCAAAGAAAACTGCCCTGATATTCTAGAACTAGAACATAAAATAGTGATTGAAAGAATCCACTGATCACCTCCTGAAAAACATATCAAAATGAAACTCCAAGGAATATTGTAGTGAGCAGAATGAGGAGAACATTGTACACAGTAACAACAACATCATGTGTGATGATCAACTCTGGTTGGCTTAGCTCTTCTCAGCAATACAATGTTCCATGACAATTCCAAAAGACTCCTGGTGGAAAATGCTATCCGCATCCAGAGAAAGAACTATGGAGTGTGAGAGCAGATCAAAGCATGCTATTTTCACTAGGATTTATGGCTTTTTCCATTAGTTCTGTTTCTTCTTTCACAATATAATTAATGTGGAAATAGGTTTACATTATTGAACATGTATAATCTATATCAGATTGTGTGTCATCTTGGGAAGGCAGGATGGGATGGAGGAAAGAAGAAAAAAATTGGAACTCAGAATCTTATAAAGTAATGTGAAAATTCCACATATTCTAAATTCTCTTGAACAAATACATCAAACTAATTAGGCTTTAAAATATTCAGTAGAAATAAGAAACTAGCCTAACAAATGTCTCTGGAGACTTAGAATTTCAAAACTTGCTAAAACATTTTTTTTTCAAAATTGGCTAGGCATATTTTTCTATAACAGAGAAAAATAACTGAAATGAGTATTAAGTCGAATTACCAAAAAGAAAGGGTTAAAACATAATATGAACAGAGAAAGTCATACGATGGACTTTGTTAAGTCCATTAAGTAAAGAACTATTTCTCTAAAAATAGTTCTTGGAAAAATTTTGTATAATTATGAAGTTAAAATGACTCTCCATATCATCATTAAAATATACAGTTCATTTTCATTGTATGTATCAAAAATTCCTATATGACCTTAACATAAAAATGTCTTAAAGCCTTTAATAAAAGTGTTTATTTTTAATAAGTAAATATATGTGTATGTATACATGCATGTAATTTTGTATATATATACACAAATATATGTGATAGCAATCAAATTTTAAAAAATATAAGATGAAAAAAATAAATAAAGTATCTTCCAGTCCTGGGGGAAAAAAGAACACATGGTAACATGATAATCTGTGTACCCTTTACTATAAAATTGACTCATAGCCCTTTTCCCTTTTCTTCTTATTCCCCTCACACAACAGGACTACACAAAGATTGTTGGCCTATCTCTTGGACTGATTTGGTCCTTCAATAACAAGATCTGCAGAACTCAGTGAAGGATAATTTGAGGTCAGAATGGCAGGATGTCAATTTTTACCTTCATTAGAGACTACTACCTTGAGTAGTTGTAAATAGAAAAATTCCAAATCTCTAAAATCCTCAATCTTCATAATCGAACTCAGCTCTACCACCTACTCACTGAGTTAGAGGCAATGATGAATAAGGATTTGATCAAGAAGAAGTCTGTGTAACTTTCCTGAAAGAGTAATATCCATCCACATATGCATAGGAATGAGGCAGAAGTAGGATTTTAAGCCTTTCCTTTGGACTGGAATCTCAAAGTATGATAGCCAAATAGCTTCCCTGTGTTCTCTCTGTTTTGTTCCACCTAAAGTTTTCTTTTTAAGGTGAATAGAATGCTGCCAAAAATCCTCTGCCTTGGGATTGTGTTTCTCTCTGTGACCACAGTAGGGACTATAGCAAACTTCTTCCTCTTTACCTCTTACATGTTAAATGTCGTTGCTGGCCACAAGATAAGTTCTTTAACTCTTATTTTCACCCAGCTGACCTTGGTGAACTCCATTGCACTTATGAGCAAGGGAGTCCCACAGACATTGCAGGGTTTAGGGTGGAATTATTTTCTGGATGATGTTGGGTGTAAAGTTGTATTTTACTTTCGAAAACTGAGTGAAGGGCTTTCAATTTCCCTGACTTGCCTCCTGTGTACATTCCAGGCCATCATCCTCAGCCCCAGCAATTCCAGGTGGGCAGAATTCAAAGTCAGACTCACACAATATATCACCCCCTGCTATCTCTTTTGCTGGATCCTCAATCTGATGGTAGAAATTCCTATTCCAGTAAGTGCAAGAGGCCCAAGGAACAGCAGCAACTTTACAAGTGCATTTCATAATGTATTTTGTACTTCAGAATATATTATGGAATTTTATTTGATTATGGTCACTTTCAGAAATACGCTTTGTCTAGGGCTCGTCGTCTTGGCCAGTGGCTACATGGTGCTTCTCCTACACAAACACCACCAACATGCCCAGAAAATTCGAAGCACCAGACTCTCACCCAGAAAGCACCCTGAGATCGGGGCCACCCGAACCATCCTTTTACTCATGAGCACATTTGTCATCTTTTATGCCCTCACCTCCATTTTGACACTTTTTCTCAGTTATTTTGATCAAAATTCTTCCTGGATGTTGTCTATTGCTATCTTCCTGTCCCTATGTTACCCAACCATCAGTCCCTTTCTGTTGATCCCCAGACTCCACAGGCCTACTTGTACTTTTTGGGCCAAGTGACATCCCCGTTGTCACCCTGGTCTCAACAGTGACCATGGAATCATAAACAGAATGTTTCCCCCTCCTACCATCCCTTACATATGTCCTAAATGTTCTGGAAACAGAGGAGACACAAAGAGGTTTCTAATCTGGAACAATCAAATAAGAGAATTCCTTGACATCAGAGTCATAGCAGAGGTCAAATAGACCACATAGAGACTATAGCACAACTCATATGCAAAGAAGGATGCTTTCAAACAATAAACAGAAGAAAGGAAATTCTTCTTTCACATGATACTTGCTTCAAATATTTGAGCACAATTGTCATGTTTCCATTTCATCTTCTCTTCTCCAGTCTTAATATCTCCATTCTCTTCAAGTGATCCTAATATGGTCAGGAAGACACTTAGTATTCTGGTTGCCTTCTTCCTAATGTTCTCTAGCCTTTTAAGAACCTAACACAGTACTCCATATGTGGTTTGAGAAGTACAGATATCAATAACCTTATCACACATACCTCATGCTTGGTACTATGCTTCTCATACTTCAGTCTAAGAGTGAATTATCTTTGTGGCTAACACATCAGGAAAGTGACTCATTTTGAGCTTTTAAGTCATGACAATCTCCAGCTTTTATTTCCATCAACTGCTCTCAAACCACATATACTAAGAGAAATATAAATCAAAAGAACCCTGACATTTCACCTTGGACCCATAAAATTGAGAAAGATAACAAAAGATAAGCATAGTCAATGCTGGAGGGTTTGTGGAAAAATAGGTACACTAATTCATGGTTGGTGGAGATATGAACTGGTACAACCATTCTGGAAAGCATTTTGGAACTATGTAAATAAAGCAACTAAAATAGCCAGAGATTTCAATGGTAGATATATAAATCAATAGAATGAAAGATAAAAAAAGAAAGGCACAACACCCACAAAAATATTTATAACTGTACATTTTATGGCAATAACCTGGTACAAAGTAAAGAGAACAATAATCACAGAACAATCAAAACTGAATATTGAGAAATTGTAAGGCACAAACTTGTTCCCAAAGAAGATGAATGAGAAGATCCCTTTCTTGTCCCTTTGTAAGGACTAGCGTCAAGTAATGGGGAACCATGAACAAAATATAAGATTTATTAATATATTCTTCAGTTTTGCTGGCTTTTTTTAATCTTCCACCTAAGAGATTTGGTAATTCTAGAAATGCTACTTCATTCTCAGTGGTTTTAATAAATGATACCTCATAATGTGAAGAGAAAAAATTACACCCAAACACAAATGTGATAATTTCACAATTGTTGAGATACCATCTTTCAGAAAAGGTAGGCATGCAGGAAACAGGTAACCTGGAAACATGAATGAAGAAAACATTTACTTTTAAAAGTATGGACTCCATTTGTGTAGAGAGGGGCTTGTATATGGTGAAGACACCGTTATTGTGTGTGTGCCTCAAAAAGAGGCAAATTAGATGTTTCTAGTCTCTTCTTTCCCCACCCTTCTCCAAATAGGATTTTTATTCCTGCCAGGAGGATATGCAGAAGGTTGGGGCCAGAGACAATTCTGTTCTCCTCAGAGGGACAGGGTGTACTAGATGGTAAAGATATCTATCTGCCCCTTTAAATATTATTTGTCTAGGGCATATGACCAGGGTCCATTTCACTTTTGATCACTTTGTCACCTTGAAAAGGATGGCCACAAGCTCTATATCCAAAGGTTGACCCCTTTCCCACCTATTACCACTTCCACAATCAGCATACACAGTAAATATCAAAGAAACTCATTCATCCAAATTAGAGCAAAGCATAAATCAGACAAGGTATACATTTAGGAGAATATGGACCAGACAACAGAGAGGGAAGGAGCTTTCCCATTGGGAGTAATGTAACTGAGGTCAACTGAGAGAGAAGGTCCTGGATCTCATCCAAGAAGAAACTCTGGTCCAGAGACTCCAGAGTAGCAAACTAGGAACAGGGACATAATGGAGACAGCCTGTACCTCTCATGGCTTCCCAGAGTCTTTTCCATCAGCAACCTCAAGTGTGGTTGGCCAATTCCATCTTGTCTCTCAAAGCTGGAATCCAACTCAGTGCTATGCAAAATTCACACTCTGAGAATTCCAATGGGAGACTCCCAATTGAAGAGTCCCCAGAATGATGGCTGTCTGAGGTCTGAAATTCTATAACTCTCACCAACTCAACCCTGCACTTCAAGCAAGACAGGACTTTCACTGCCACTAATAAGGAGAGAGTCACTTATTAATGGCAAAGGCATATAATGATATATTGTCATGCTGTTCCATAACCTCCGCTGCTGGGATTCACATATCTGCTATCGAATAGATATTAACTTACTTTTTGTGGTTAAAATATCATCTCATTTGAGAGTTTCCTTTCAACAGTCCATCAAACTATCTCTGTCACAGAATTTTTGTTCACAGAGTTGTTCTGGTAGGTTGTAACAAAAGCCAGTACAATACTGGTTATGCTCATCTGTTTTCTTTTTGTGTGTGTTTTGTGTGTGTTTTGTGTGTGTTTCTTAATGATTTGAGATTGTCATGGGCTAGGCCCAACTTAAGCTGTTCAAGTGCTGAAGTTTCAAAATAGAAACTAAATGAGATATTGAGAGACTATTGGACAATTATCATAAGGGTGTTTACTTAGCCAGTACAGAGAAAGGATGTTTAGCAAGGACACAACAACTAAACAGGAGTTTATTGAGTACTCACTACATATAAGACTGTGTTAAGTTCTTAGGATGCAAAGAAAAGACAAAAAAATCCGTTCTTGTTCTCAGAGTGCTTACATTTATTCAGCTGGTCTCCTCTTCTTTGCTCATTTGCTGAACATGCTGGTTGGCTGATCAGAAGTCTGATGAAGGAATGAACTCCTTATACACTGACTTTTTACTTGGGCCATCAGGAAGCTATGTCAGAGGTATTATCCTTAGTTCACTGGAAGAATTGAGTCTCAAGTGAATTTTATAATCTCTTAAGGAAAAACTGGCCTAACCTTCATGGGACAGGGTCCAGTACAATGGGGTGGGGAAAAAACGTAGACTATTGGTCATTCAACATATATCTTTGGACCCAGATAACTTTCTGACATGAGGCTAGAAAATTCTTTCTAATTCCCACTAAATCATGTCTATATGCCCCAAACCCTCCTCCCTATTCTATCTACATAAAAGGACCAATAGGAGCTATATGGAGACTAAAACTCCAAGGGGTCAAATCCCTCCCAGGATCTTATATGATTAACATAAAGAGGAAGCCAGGGGAAGGAGCAAAGTAAGGGAAGTTGGCAGTCATTTCTCTACCACATTGGCAAGAAAATAAATGGCAAATTATATCACTTAAATAGCAGAAAGTATTTGCAGAATAGAGACACTTTAATTTATCATGGTAAATCTCTGAAGAAATGAAAAAGAAAACAACAGGTGGAAATGCAAACACACTCGAGTCAAAGACAATCCAGAACAACAGAAGAAAAAAAGCAATGATGTCAAAATATAGAAAATATCATCTCTAGACAATAAATCACATTTATCTCAGTGTTCCAAATTGAGAATCATAGGCTTCTCAGGAAAAAAAATGGAGGTTAAAAAGCTATTTTCTCATCCAAAGAAATTCTCCTTGTTGCCAGTCAACTGTGGCCAATGGTCCCAGAATCTCTCAAATTCACAACACAGCTCAAGAATGATATTTATACACCTGATCAGGAAACACAAAGTAGAAAACCCACAAGTTCATCTAGTTGAATCCCTCTATTTAGCTTCAATGTGGGAGAAGTTGTCAAGGAACAGCCTTCCTTCATTCTGAATGAGAAGTTTCACAGTTACATAATTTCACCTGGAGGGTCAAAGGAAGAAATAGAAAGAGTGAGGTCACTCCATTTGTAATGATCCATTGAGTCATTGCATCTTCCTGCTTGCTGACCATCAGTCAGGCATGAGATATTTATTAAGCACCTCCTATGTGCCAGGCGCTGTGTTAAGCAGTGAGGACACAGAAAGAAAGAAAGAAAGAAAGAAAGAAAGAGAGAGAGAGAGAGAGAGAGAGAGAGAAGAAGAAAAGAAAAGAAAGACAGTTCCTGCCAACAAAGAGCTTATGATTTAATAGGGGAACTCAACTCACAAGAAGAACCTATGAAACTAGAAGAGAAGCCCAGGGTGCTGAAGATACTGGTGAGGAGTGAGTATCAAGACTGATGAAATCTTGCAAGTTGATGAGTTTTCTCAAGGCATGAAAGACAAGTCCAAAGGAAGGGAATCAGATTGGAAATGTAGAGATTGATGGAATCTCAAAGCATAATGAAGTTCAGTGATGAGGTTCCTCATGAGGTTCCTAGAGGGAAAATTGAAAAGTGCAAAGTTCAAGTGGGTTTGGGTCAACAATTCAAAGCACAAGCCATTAGAACCAAAGTAAGAGAAAAAGAAATTTCTCAGTGTGGCAGCAAACAGGAAGTTTTGAAGTCCAGACACAGAGATATGCCAACCATCATAACAGGAGGAGTTAAAAACACAAATTAAGGACCAGAAATATTCCAGAAAAACATTACTCAATTTAAAAACCTGGACAACAAGAAGCACCTGCTTTTCCTCTTCCAGTAAGCTAGCCCAGATACTCATTTAAAATAATGAAACACTCTCCTGAACAAGAGGAACCCACAAAATCACACAAGTCTAGAATTCAAATCTCTGAGTCCAACTTCAAATCATCCATAAAACTGTCAAGCTATCAAGGAAAGGAAAAATCTCCCCAGTAGCTACCAAGATGTCACGTTAAAGAAACAATATGATTCTTTCCAAAAATGTAGTAGTGGAGTTGGCAGATACAGTTAGGCACAGGATGACTGGCCAAAAACGTGTGGTGAGTTCTTGTTGCTCATACTGAGAAATGCAGAATAGAGGTAGAACTTCAGTATTTGGATATGGATTTTCTCATCACTAAGCGTATTTAGGTCAACAAGTCTCCTAAAAGGTGAAGGAATACTTAAATGGTTCTTGGCTGAATCAAC